CGTCATCATAGTAGTAGCCCTAGTAGTAGTTGTTGTTGTAGTAGTGGTCATCATCGTAGTAGTCTTAGTAGTAGTAGTAGTAGTAGTAGTAGTAATCGTCAACATAGTAGTATTTATGTGATTATTTTTTATCATCATAATAATAATTATTATTATTATTACTGCCCAAATGTGTTGCAACATTGAAAATTTGTTGTGCAAATAAGATACATCTTAAGATACATTTTATGAATTGTCTTAAATTTAACTGTAGTAACGATAATCAAGTTGCATTTGCAATCTTAAAGCCATATCCCACTACTCTGCATCTATATTTTGTGCTATTAATGAATTTGTGTGTTTACATATTTGCCATATTCCACTTGTTCCTCAGGGTTTCTCTTTCCTGTGGCGCTATGTGGATCTCCGAGGTCAGTGTCAAGAGTCTCTGTATAATCTTGGCCGGGCTTTACATCAGCTTGGACTCACTCATTTAGCCATTCACTACTATGAGAAAGCCCTCACCCTCCCCCCACTCAAAATGGAGGTAAGACGCTTTCACTTTAATATGTATGTGAGCCACCATGCATCCATAAATCATCACAGAGGCCTCACAGATTATCAAACATAAGTCTCTACGTTATATCTGTGCTTATGTATGTCTTTATCCATGCTGTTTGAACTGCTGTGTGAAATGCAAATGACTTCTCTTATGATCTGAAGGGGATTGAGGACGATCAAGTGGACTTGAGAAGAGAGATTGCCTACAACTTATCCCTTATTTACCAGTCCAGTGGTAATAAGGACATGGCCCGACACATCATCTATACTTACTGTACTATATGATCCTGTGATCCCATCTAATGTTGCTTTTGTAAATGTACATTTCCATTTTCTGTTCAATAAAATGTTATATTTATTATAGTTATGCAATGTTTTTGTTTCTTTGAGTGAAGAGTTTTTAATATTTATATAATATTTATTATTTAATATTTACATATAGTTATTATTATTAATAAGATTAATAATAAACTCATAATAGTCCCGGGATTACCAAACTTTTCAGCTTGCAACCCCCCCCCCCAATAACAATACCTGTGATTTGAGACCCCCACATTTCTTTGAGGTGGTTAGAGATATACAAATGTTGCGCACACAACAATAAGCCTATATCAGAGGTGTCCAAACTTGGTCCTGGAGGGCCGGTGTCCTGCATATTTTAGTTCTAACCCGAATTAAACACACCTGAACCAGCTAATCAAGCTCTTTCCAGGTATACTAGAAACTTCCAAGGAGGTGTGTTAAAGGAAGTTGGAGCAAAACTATGCAGGACACCGGCCCTCCAGGCCCTCTGAGTTTGGACACCCCTGGCCTATGTAAACATGAGCATATTGACAACACAAAAAATACTTAACAACCATAGGCTATAATTCATATAGTCATTTATTAATGCGTTTAATTTAATATTAACCTCAGCTAAAGAGACTGGTGGGCACAATGTTTTCAGCACAAGTCTATTCTTGGTTTAATTTTTTACTTACTTGCTACTAAATTAAATGTAAAATTTTATTTGTAATCAATTATTGTATATTTTTTATCATATTATATTATTATTAATATTATTTATTAGATGTAATAGTAGTATTTGATTATTTTTTAATTCATTAAATTATCACCTTATACGTGCACTTGCTGTGCATTTGTGTGGCGCTTGAGGACTTTAATGTTTGCAGACTGTTAGTTATGTGTCTCTTCTGTTAAAGGCACAAAAGGGAAATATGTGTGGGGGTGTTTGTTTGTATATTTGTTTTTGTTGTTGACAGCTTGTTTTTTTTTTGTGCAAACTTATAAAAAAAATCCTATAAATAAAGTAATATATAAAATTTGTTAATTTGTTATTATAAAATAAAATAATAATTTTTTAATATTATAAAATTATTATTTATTTTTAGTCGTAGTAGTATTTATTTTAACATATTTTATTAATTTACTTACTATTATTTGTATTGTTTTAATTAGTTTGATGTTTTTTATTCATTTTTAATAATTATTATTATTATTTAATTTTATTGTTATTGTCTTTATTTTATTAATATTTTTTGTAGAAATAATAATAGTATAGTAGTCGTCGTCGTCTTATTTGAATTTTTTTAATTAATTTACTTATTTTTAACTAGTTTTTATTAGTTTGATTGTTTTTTTATTCTTATTATAATAATAATAATTCTAATAAATTATTGTTTATTTAATATATTATTAGCAGTTGTCGTCATCACAGTAGTACTTTTGTTACTTTTCGAGAAGTGTCTGCCAAATGATTAAATGCACATTTCAAGACATTAAAAACATTACATTGTTATATTTTTAGTATAATAATAGCCTTGTTTGTGCATAAAGTAATCTCTATCGAGTAATCCCTGAAATGCCTCATATTTGGCCTTTCTTATTCATTTCCAAGCAGACTGAAAATTTGGTTTAGTCTGTAATTCAGCCATAAAAGTGCTGAGGATATTTATTTCAGTGCATTCACAGTATTCCCTGCAGGGAGTGCAAATTATTATTGGTTTTATTAATTGCCACAGTCGAAATCCCACCCTTGTTCACACCCTCTGTTCAATGAAATCAATTTCCCCTTTGTGAATCGATTCATTTGGATGATTCATTTGAATGAATCATCTCCAAATGATTCAACAAGTTCTTTGAGTTCCCAACTAGCATTAGCTGTTAAATCACACAAGTAACTGTTGTTATTTGAAAGGTAGGGGTGTTTTCTTTGAGCTGTTTTATTTGTTATTTCAACATCGTACAACTTGTGGAATTAAACGGTTTCTCAGTTAAATGTTGTCCTGTCATAACAAAGTAAACATCAGTGTAAAGATTGTTTAGCTTTCATTTGATGTAGAGATCTCAGTTTTAAATTCTGAAAAGACTGCGTTGAATTCTGACTTGCATCTATAACAAAGTGAACAAATGACAAATCTCTTAAAAGTGCAGTAGGTGATCGTCTTCAGAAACATGTTTTGTTGTTGTGCCGGTTGAAAGTCTCTTCACATTCCAATAGTAATGATTAAAGTAAGTGATCTAAATGTATTTGTTTTTTTTTATTTTTTTCTGTAAGACATAAAACTAAAAAACGTTTATCCAATTAAAAGTTGTCCTGCTGACAGTTCCCATAATTCTGATAAGCAGCCCAAACTGACTGTCAGCAAATGTAGAATGTAAGTTAGATCCACCGTTTGTGCGTTCATGTGCACACGAGAGAGTGAGAGCAGTAAAAACAAATGCTGAATCAAACCTTTTTAAATTCCTGAATTGATATTGGAGTTCGTTTTTGCATGCTGGAGGAAGTATGACACCATGGCTGAAGTATTTCTGTTAAACAGGTAATGTTCTGTTTTAAAACTCTTTTAGTCAAGCAATGATGTAGACTGTGTTGTTATGAATAGGTTAAATGCACAGAAGTGTTGTTCAGCCACTGAAATCTCCCAGTAAAGATTGATTTGACTATTCTGTTTTATAAGGGCCTTTTACAGCATTGATGATTTTTTGATTTCGTTTAAGAACAAAACATAAGTAAAAAGCGTTATTCCGCCAAGCCTGCTTTACTGAGGTCAAGTTGCTTTTGTATTTACATCACATTGGTTCATTTTTGAACAATGACAGCCTGTGACGCGCTCCCTATATTGTTTACTGTTGCTCTGAATATTCCATCTGTAATATCATGTAAGTATAGCTTAGTAATGAGTGTAATTCCTGCAGCCCGCTGGCCAAGCACTAAGCATACAGTAGTCGCTTTAGGACAAAGCAAATGAGAGAGTGAGACCAGCGATCTTTGCATGCATGAAATATTGCACATCATGACAAGTTTTGCTTGCTAAATATCTGAAAACGTGTTAGATATAATACAGTTTTTTGTTTGGAATTGTAGTATTATAAAGTACTATACATTTTTCTCACTGGCGAATGACATGATCTGGTTGTCTATTGTCATCTTAAAAGGGTAAATTCATTAAATTTGGGTGGCAGGGGAGGGATGGGCCCTTTTCACACTTCCAAGTTGTGAACACTTCCACTAGCGAAAGTCATCATGATTAAGAAAACTTCTGAATGTGAGAGTACAACAAATATCAAACTTATTTACTTATAACAAATTTGTTCAAATAATAAAAGAAAAACTCCATGATGATGTTATAAAGATGTTCAGAAAAGGGGGAAAAATTGTGTGAGACTGATGACGGCAGCCAGAGGAGAAAATAACATCAAATTTACTGTTCTAAAAAAATTCAAAGATGATTCCTTGGATTTAATCCTTTTTTTTACGTTAAGTGCTTGTAAACAATTTAATTGTGTTGAATTTAAACAAACAAATTAAGTTAAACATGACTAATTTTAATTGGTCTGTTTAAATTCAACACTAATAATTGTTTGCAACAGTTCTGCATGCAACACTTTTTTCAGTGTCATAGACTCCCTATTAGAAATGCCTTGCACAAGCGGTAAATCGTTTTTTTTTGTTTTTTTTTTGTCATGTGAAGCAAAGATGATATAATACATACACAAATACATATAAATGTTCATATGTTTTTTTATAATCTAAATATTAAAAACTTTCAAGGATTTAAGATGCTGATGATCGTTAAACGTGTCATAACCAATGACTGTATAAAATGGTCATAACAGGCTTTTGAAAATGGTGCATTGAGTTTCAAAGCTATTATGCTAACGGTTAGCATTTTGGCAGATCACCTACTGCACCTTAATGTCAGTCAACACATCAAAAATAAATGTAGGCCTAATCACTCTTTTCTAATGTTGGGTTCAGATCATGCTATACAATGACACACCATCTTGTTCTCTTCAAAACACCTTTATTGTTATATGTTTATGTTTTCTTTATTGGAGTTAAACAGGTCGTGCAACTTTTAAAAATTGGTTTTAGCTTGACTATATGATTCGTCCGACTCTTTTCCAAAGAATCACTCAAAAGAACCGATTCAGCGCATTGACTCGTTCGCGAGTCGACCGTAAAAAAACATTTCGAGTGAACGCCTCCCTCTCGTGAGCTCCGCGTCTGACTCTCAAAACAAAAGCAGACGCAAATCCCGTGGAATTAATCCATCACAAATGCAGAGCAACATTCACCACCACAGCGCATCTCCTAATGAAGGTGTACGACCAGCCACGCGCGTGCTTTTGTTCGGGCGCGAGTGTTTCCAGCGGGTGTGAGGTGGCACCGAGCGGGGACGCGGATCTTTGTAAATGAATAAGAGATGAACGCGCCAGGATCCAGACTGGCACGCCGCGCGCACGGACGCAGACCGACACTGCGCAGTAAAGCTGCTCTGGGTTTGGTTCTGGTTGGTTCGGTCGGCTCGTGGTGCCTCTGAGACGGATGTTTTAGGAGGAAGAAGCTCTCTGGAGCCGCACAGAGGCCCTCAGCTGCGCACATCAGCTGTTCCGAGCATCTCCCGTGTGTTTATTTCTGCCGTCTTGAGTTCTTCATCATGTTTATTTGACGGTAAGTAAAAAACGCTTGGTTCAATGCCAAATTTTTACATCGTAGTCATTAAAAAACAAATATATTTTCTATTGTAACGCGTACATTTTCGTTTGCTATTGTTTACTTTGAAAACAAAGACCCAAACAAAGTGGTATGTTGCCTATGTTAATGTACTTAAACACTTCATGCAGTGCATTTGATGTAAAGCTCTATAAATAAATGTCGGATACTCGCGGTTATCTGGTTTTAGGATTGTTTTGTCAAAGCAATGAGACAGTACCTGTGGCATTTTGTTGTTGGCAAATGTTTTGATATACACGCATTTGAAGTTTCTGTTGTGTAAAGATCTAATGTTGCGTAAATGTACATGTTTTCAAGGCTAAAGACCTGCTGCTTGGTTATTCATGCACGTTTTTTCCTCAGTGTGAGTTTAATTGGGATTTATTTCAGAAGTATTGATTGCCAATGTGGCATGTCCTTGATGTTTTTTAAGATGGTAGTAAAATCGCCACATAGCTATCCCAAAAGATTAATGATTCATAATGCTAAACGCAAATATTAAACATTAGATTTACATTTGATTCAAGTAGAGATTAAATAGCACTGATTATTGAAGGTATTAACTCTGTTAGTAATGGCCCGATCATTTCACTTCAAGTCTAAATGTATGATCAAGAAACAGTTATTACTGTATATATTTTTGCATATAGGCTATTTTTTTTACTCATAAATGGCAAATTTGTAAGTAAATAAGTAAAGGTTTATTTATATAGCACCTTTCCCAGACATTGAGTCACAAAGTGCTTTACAATATGAGAAAACAAGTTAAAGAACACAGGACAATCCAAGAAGTCCTGTTAAAACATATTTAAACTAATTCATAATCCACAATTAAAAATTGTGTTGACTTCGGCTTTCAACTTTGGAATTTTTGGCTGAAAGTGTACTAAAGAAGAGAAGTCAGATACATTTTAGATAGTGTGAAATGTAAACTAAAAGGTAAACTATCCTGTTAAGTGCTGTAGAATTGAGCGTGATAATAAGTGACTATTTAAATGTTGAGAGCTGGTTATTTTTCATGGATATTAAAGCTACTCTTTTGCATCATCATTGTTTTTTTTTTCTTTTTTTTTAATTACGTGTGCAGATTTATTTATACACAGCAACATTGCCAGTGTTTATTCAACTCTGAGAGTTAATTTATAACACTTTACCTGTGTATCCACACTGGCCAGTGTTAAAATAACATTTTCAAAGGTGTTAACAGTTTGACACTAAGTTAAATATTTTTTTTTCTAGTTTTATCAATAATTATTCACATACTTTATAAATGCAATGCACATTGTTCTAGTCATGCATTATAAAACAAAGACTTAGGCCCCATTTACACTAATATGGGTGACACTTTATTTTTATGGTCTGTATTGAGTATTAGTAGACTGTCTACTTAATATCTGTTAAAACTGCTGCTAAACAGACATTTCACTGACTATAAGAAACTTTGCAAGGACATGACAATTTACACTAACCCCAACCTAACAGTCTACTTATAATCTAATGAGGATTAGTTGGCATGTAGATGCAATGTAACTTAAATTCAACAAACGGACCATCAAAATAAAGTGACATCCTAATATATTTTAAAATGCATAACCTTTGCTATGGTTATGCCTTCTGTCCACTCTACCCTGGAGTTTTCAAGCCTCGAAAATGGAGCGTTTTGAAAACGCTGAAAAGACGTTTTGGTTTTAAAATGTTGCTGCTCAGTGTTAGTGTGGATGGGGCAAAATGGAGACATCTGAAAAAAGAGGTGTGACTGATTGGGGCTTATTTCAATATCAAGCGCACAAAGTCCAGTCTTTCCTTTTAAATTCAGACTTCGCAAGTTTGATTTGAAGAACAAACTCTCGAGGACACAACGCGTAAAACTTCAAAGGGAGCAGAGTATTTCATAAGGTCATTCACATCACCCTGGCTTTATCTTAACTATAAAATGAAAACATGATATAAGGAACTGACTATTTTTATTTTGATATTATTTTGATAGTATTTTGATATTAGCAGCAGACACCAAAATTGTTGAGGCGTCATGTAGCTACATATTTAAATGACCGTCATCTTCTCTGTATGCATATTTGTAACAAAACGGAGCCTAAAACAGAACTGCCTCCTTACATTTTCAGTAAAAAACATGAAACACACCCTCTCTATTGCTAAATATCAGTTTGAATAATCAATAATGGCCCTTTTGAAAGTATAACGTACAATAAGTTTATACATTATAGGAGATGAAGGCAAGCAATCAGTCAAATGTGCAGCATCAGTGTTTGTGGTAAATAAATATGTTAACTTATCTCTGCGCTCAGCCAAAACACGTTACCTGAGAACAAGTAATAGATTCAAAAGACCAAAGAGTTGTTTGATAGAGACAAGAGGAATAAAATATCACGTGGAACAGCTAGTAAGATTAGATCCAGCGGTAGATCCTTGATTAACTGTCCGACATGCGCTGCTCTCACCTGGGGAGTTGTGCTCAAAGCACCCGCTGACTGCCTGGAGCTCAGACTTCCACATATGCTGCAGTGCATGACAGTGACATGACAGAGTGTTTGTGTGTGGTCACCCGATGTGTATTTTCAGCATTGGAGTGTGGATGGAGATCTTTTCAGAAATGCTAGATCAGGGTTTACCAAACTTGTCCCTGGAGGGCTGGTGTCCTGCAGATTTTAGCTCCAACCCTAATCAAACACACCTGAACAAGCTAATCAAGGTCTTACTAGGTATACTTGAAACACCCAGGCAGGTGTGTTGAGGAAAGTTGGAGCTAAACCCTGCAGGGCACCAGACCTCCAGGAACGAAATTGGTGAACCTGGTGCTAGATGAAACGCCAGTGTGGATGTGGATAGTTTTCGTTCTAAAATGCTGTTTTAAAACTAAAGCATAATGGTGTAAAAGGGGCCTTAATTATTGTTGGGTTCAAAGCTAATTAGTTGCATAATAAACCAGTACAAAACACACTTTCACGCTTTATTTTTAATGAAATACTGGATGTTTTAAAAAATGTAGTAGTTAAAGTCTGCAAAAATATCTTTAAATTCTCAGTATGGTGTATTCTTCTCAAGAACAAGGGACTGTAAAGTTCTTAGAATTGAGATGGCTCCTGAAACTGCAGTATGTAAAACCTGATAGATTAAGAGTATAGAGTAGTAATAATATAGTAGATTGGGATTTTATTTAGCATTTACAGAAATCTTAAAACGTGCTTTGCGCATGTCCGGTCTTGTTGATGATTATACGCATTACTATAAAGACATTTTAAAACGCTGCTGTCTATCAATTCGGTGGGCGGGAAAATCACAGTCACATTGTCATATTATGTCACATATGTCACGTTGCGGTCAGCCTCAAAATGGGGGGGATTTGGATCCTATTTTAACTTGAGGAAAATTTAAAAAAGAGACTTCTTGTGTTTCTATCTCTCCAAATATGACTGAACACACTATACCTACACACAGTTCTGTCCAAACAGCTTACAAAAGATGATTTTCATCATTGGTTCCCCTTATTATACAATGTTTGATTAGTAAGCCCACACAGAATCTGTGTGTGCAGATTTCCGCAGATTTTTAACCCATCGAGTCTATTTATTTACTTGTGTAAATGTGTGTAAACTTATATTTATTCAGTTTTTAAATTAATTTCAGTATTATTATTAACTAATATGAAAATATTCATTCATTTATTTTCTTTTTGGCTTAGTCCCTGTATTAATCTGGGGTCGCCACAGTGGAATGAACCACCAACTTATCCAGCATATGTTTTACTAGTGTAAAAGGAGCCTTAATTATTGTTAGGTTCAGAGCTAATTAGTTGCTTAATAAACCAGTACAAAACACACTTTCACGCTTTATTTTTAATGAAATACTGGATGTTTAAAAAATGTAGTTAACGTCTGCAAAAATATCTTTAAACTCCCAGTATGGTGTATTTTTCTCAAGAACAAGGGACTGTAAAGTTCTTAGAATTGAGATGGCTCCTGAAACTGCAGTATGTAAAACCTGATAGATTAAGAGTATAGAGTAGTAATAATTTAGTAGATTGGGATTTTATTTAGCATTTACAGAAATCTGACTTATTTTAGGAGAGTTGTCAAAAAGAGACAGTTGCTAGTTTTCTAGTTTTCCTCACAAGTAATGAGGTCATATGAAGCTTTTTGCTTTGAAGAGCAGCTCCAAAATCCCACTTCAGGACTATTTAGACCATCTATGTGATCTGTGGATTAAATGACACAGTTAAAGCTGGTGGCTCAGTCATTAATGCCTTCGCCTCAGACTCAATTTCAGGATGCCCTGGTTCTCGTTCAATCCAATATTCACCTAGGCTCACTTGGTTGCATATCCACTCAGATTCATTTCTAAGAGCATCGCAAAATACAGTATAATCTGAACTAGCTTCTCAGATTGTGTCTTAAATTTACTCAAAAGTGTGTGCAGAATCCGTCCAAGTTCACCTAACAGGCTCAATTGCTTGCGTATCCATTCAGATTCATTTCTAAGAGCCAACAAGCATCGCAAAGTACAGTATAATCCGAACTAGCTTCTCAGATTGTGTCTTAAATTTACTCAAAAGTGTGTGCAGAATCTGTCCAATATTCAACTAACAGACTCAATCGCTTGCGTATCCATTCAGATTCATTTCTAAGAGCCAACAATCATCGCAAAGTACAGTATAATCTGGATTAGCTTCTCCGATTTCTTCTTAAGTTTAGTCAAAAGTGTGTGTGTGGATTCTGTCTGGGCCTTGCGGCGTCTGATCAGATCATCTTGAATTTTAGCATTGATTGATCTCTGTTGGCTAGGATGTTATTGAACGTTGGATCAGACAGTCTTGAATGAATAATTGTGGAAGCTAAAGGTGGAGAAAGATAGAGTCTGACATCAATGGACAGTAATGATGTATGGTTTGAGAGGGCTTTACAGACCAGCAGACAATGGAGGCTTTCAGTAAAGGTCTGAAG